CTGACTTTTTCCATCAGAGGATTTAGAGGAAACTTTTCTCCCTGCTTCTGCCTTTGGATTCCTCCTTGTTGGGTGATCCTCTACCTGTCACTGTCACTGATTTCATTCTTTAGCAGGTTCAACTTCATGCAGCTACACCAGTTCCTATAGTGAATGCATTTGTCTGCAAGAGGAGGATGTGGCAGAATGGCAAAAGCAATGGGCTGAGAATGGGGTAGTATGGGATTTGGAAGTAGCACTTTCTATTGTCTTAAATAACTTATCCAAACTCCCTGTGTCTCCACTTCACCACACTGGTGTAAACCAGAAAACTGGTCTTGCCAGCCACGGGCCTGGAAGCCCTGGCTTAGCCCATTCCTGACATGTTCTCGTTTGAGCCTCTCCTCTCCAATGCTGTGTCCTAGTCCTTAGATTTTTGCCTGCTTCTTGGCTTTCTCAGGTTGTACTTGGGTCTTAAGTGTCCAAAGTTTGGCTTCCTCTGGTGGTTCTGGCTTGGGTATTGCCCCTCTGCCTCTCATTTCCTTAAGCTGTTTTTGCTTGGAACATTTTGCTTCCTTACATTCCTGCCCAGTGAAATGCAAACTCCACTCCATGAATTCTATACAGTGATAGGTTGAGTCACTCTTAGGCAACCCCTTGGGAAGGAGTTCAAATGTGCTTTAAAAATTTATGCAACTTTTTAAAATTTCAAATTGTGATCCTTCCTTTCCTTTTAGTAAAGTATGCAATGGACTGGGCTTGGTGTTACATGTCTGTATCCCCATGGTTGTTGAGGTAGAGGCAGAAGGACCAGCTGTTCAAGGATATCTTTAGCTACATAGTGAGTTGGAGATCATCCTGGGCTACATGAGCCCATGATTCAACACCAGACCAAACCAAATCAAACCTAACCAAACCAACAAACAACAACAACAACAAAAACAATGCAACAATTCCCCATAACTTTCAAAATAATGCCCACAGTTCTATGTCCTCCAGACATAGTTTGGGTTCTTAAGACACCAAGCTACCAGGAATCACAAACCCACATTTCTTGTATTGCCCAGCAAGAAACTATTACACTGGATATTTTAAACTACTTTCAAATTTCTCCAAGAAAGAGTTATTATTATATGAATACACTAATCAAATGCTTTCATTTTGGAATTGTGAACAGAATTGAATAAATGCTTAATAATGCATATAGCAAGCCCTTTGAAAGATCAGTACTTTACATATCTTACACAAACTTACATATCCAGTTACCCAGATCTAGATTGTCTCTAGTGTTTAATTAATTGAACATTTACAAATAATGTGTAAATGATTTATTGTCATACAGAATTGAGTTCTGCTTTTCACGTAGTAGCAGTAACATTTTTATTTTAATATGCATGCAATAGATTGCAAACTTTGTGGTGATATCATTTAAATGGATCTCAACAGTCCATTAGCCATGTCAGTGCCTCCTTCCTTGCCAAGCCATAGCTTTATGCTAAGCTGTTGTGTACTATGTTACATAATCCCCTGCATTCATTTCCCCCACCTATTTAGCTTGAATACATACAAGGTGACTGCATTGTCTTTTTAACCTCCTCCCTGTAATCACCATGTATAGAAAATGAATTTGGGAAACTGCTGCCTTTTTCCAGTGGAGAATTTGGAGAATTGAATCAGCTCAGAATGTATTGTCACTGTCTGCCTTTCCTCTTTTGGCTATGTTGGCTGTCAACCTAGTATGGTTTTCAAGGTGATAAGAAAGTGCTTGGTTCTCAGCTACTGCAAGGAAATTAAGATAGGTCAGGGTCTTGGGAGAAAAATAATCTCAGTTGTGAAGGTGTACAAAAGGGTAATTTTCTAAAAGTCCTTTTCTGTCTCCTTCCTAGCCTTTATTTGCTCTGAGGGATTGGGACATGTATTGCCGGGCCTCTTCTCCCAACTGTCAGGAGGAAAGTACCCCATGAATTAAAAATGAAATAAGTTTGTTTATCTAGATTATTATTCAGAGAAGAACTCTGGACTATCTATTGTTGTTAATGGACACCTGCAGGGATGAGCTATCTAGGCAGTTGGGTTGATGCTGCTCTTGGTGACCATCTCTGGCCCAGGGGAGAGGTAAACTGAGCAAATGTACCATTGAGTGGAGAGATCAGGAAGGCTGTGAACTTCTGCAGCAGTTTTCATTACTTGCAAAGGAAGACACTTAGCTACATAAAATCTTCGTTGGTATATTTGCATGTAGATTAGCATAAATATGCATGTGATTTGCATAGACATTTTCCATCTCACATGGGTTTTATATCTTATTTATTTCTTGTGGTATTCTCTGTGATAATGCCACCATTTGTTTCTCCTTCTATGGCCTTCTATACAAAACATTCTCTTATTTTAAATACACTGATTCCATAGGGGAAAGGAAAACATTTCTTTTGGTAAGCACATACAATTACCTTGGGGGAGAGGAGTAGTTTCTGGCTCAATTTATCCAAGCTTTGGGATGGTTTATAAATTCACAGCTCCATGAAATCATTCATAGCCTTAGATAAGTAGGTTGAAAGCATGTGGAACATTCTGAGTGATGGTCAAGGAGGTAAAGTCCAGAGGTACTTCAAGTCTTGAGTACCACATACTGTCATCTTGGCTTCTCACTTAGTCTCCCTAGTCATCAGTTTCTCCCTTAATAAAATAAAAGCATTAAACCAGACAATCCCTAAAATGCCTTATAATTTGAAATGTTATTATTTTGACAGACCCCCTTCCTCTGATTGTATGGAAATGTCAAGTGCAGCCTGGCACATTAAATAACATCCTGGCACTTTGCTGTTTTGTGTAAAGGCTTCCCCCTTTGAAGGGTCCTCCACGATTAATGTAAACTCTGTGTTACTCCTGTTACTCATTTACCCTAGTTCAGTGGACATAAGGCATAATTTAGATGTTCATGGAAGATGCCCATTAGTTTCATGTGTGGTACCAAGGATCATGAAGCAGATGTCTCAAGCATGCTCCTGTCAGTAGTCAAAGAGCTTAGTTGTGAGAACTGTACGTCTTCTATTCTAGACCAGGGACACCTCCAGGTGTATTGGCCAGTTGCGTTTGAGGAAAGGTATTTCTTTTGAAATCAGGAAAGGCAGTAGGCAGGGCCCTGGAGGATTTAATAGGTATGTTTCAAAGATATAGACAGTGTCAAATTTCTGCTTTATAACTTTTAGGGACTATTTTTGAGAAAATGTACCAGGTATGAATTATTTTCCAAGTGGTACTTATTCCTTAAGTATGTACAAAGTACAGTTTAGCCATCTATAGGTAAGCAGGTCCCTTTGATTTTGACAGTATGTGTACACAGAAATATAGATTGACCCATACCATTGAGACCCTTTGAAACATGCAGAAGAAACTTCATCTCTTCTTTAGCTCTCTAGCTTTGTAGTTTCAATTCCCGTTTTAACGGTGTCATGATGCCATGGTTAATTTAGACATTTATACTGAGTGATTCTATCTCCATCTAACCAGTGACCTCTCTACTTCATGTTCTCACTTTAGGATTAGAAAAAAAATAAATGTATTTTATTTTTCTTATATAATTTATGTAGGCTGAGGTAGTCGATAGGGATCTGAACTAAGGTGAATTTGGCTTTGGTTCATAAGATTGAAATGTAGTTTATCCAGGAAAGTAGAATTCTCCAAACTCAATTTGTAGCCCACAGTCTTTATAGGGAAACTGCATATCTAGATTTTTACTATTGCCAAGTCCCTTTCATTAATGAAGTGCTTTTAGCTTCTGACCAAGTCTGAAATGAAGTAATATATGCCGAGGTTGCCTGACAAGTAGACAAATGTAAGTTCATGTACTATGTGCCAAAATTTTCAATCACATCAACAAACAAATGATCTAATTAACTATGTCTTATTCTCTTAAGCTGACAAACCCAAATCAATGAACAAATGATCCAATTAACTATGTCCTATCCTCTTAAGTTGACAAATATACCTCTGTGATTATCTGGAAATACAGGTTCAAGTTTAGAAATTTTGAACTTCCTGGGAAATGCAAGAACAGGCCAACTCTCCTGGTCCTCAGTCTGTAGCTTTCCCCAATTCTCTTCCAACCTTTGTCTCTGTTCTATATCACAAAATCTTCTGGGATAAATGCATGTGGAATCCCAAACCCATATGGCAAGCTCTGTCCTTACTCTTGTAAATCTTCCCTCACAATCATACCTTGACACTGATGCAATGGTTCTCCTTCAGAAAAATGGGTCTGGAGAAGATGGCTACACAATTAGGCTTAGGACAGAGAACTGCAGGGTCTCTCTCTGAAATGTGGTCTTGAAGGAGTATCTAGGTTGCAATCCTGTCGTAGCCTTTGGGACCTCTATTTTGGGGATACGGTTGTGTCAAGGGCAAGTTCCAATCTGAAAGGGTCACTCTGCAACGTAATCTCCCATCAGCTCAGAGCAGAAGGTCCTTTTGCTTGAGTCTAAGGGTGGTAATGATGTCTGGGCAAAGCTTATTACCACATTTCATCCTCTGCCCTTTCCCTCACCTTCTTTATCATTTTCTCAAGTCCAACCTCCTACTTAATAATCCAGCCACATTCGATGGGCCCCCTGACTTTACCACAGAAACCAAAATCAGCTGGGTCATTAGTGGATGGAAATCAAAGCCAAAATTTTCAGGATAATTGATTTTGAGATATTTGTTAATAAAAGATACCAAGAGCTAAGGAATCCTTAGAAAGAACGGTTGATGTATGCATTCTGAACTGGGCATACATGCATTTAGATGTCTTCGCTGATCAAAGGCAATGTGGGCCTCACTTGACCATTTTGAATGAAATTTCTCCCTGAGGTTTTTCTTCCTGAACATTTGAAGGAAAGGCACAGCTCCCTTGAACTATTTTCTTTGTCTTCTACCCTTGTACATAGTTTCTGTTAGTTTAACCTAGCACTTAAGCAGGATCTGCCTAGATGGTACTCTTGCCTGTCAAGGCTTAACAACTTTTTCCTTTTCTTCACCTACAGCCCGAGAGGAGAATGTGGCCACTTTCCGCGGCTCAGAATACCTGTGCTATGACCTGTCTCAGAACCCGATCCAGAGCAGCAGCGATGAAATCACTCTCTCCTTTAAGACCTGGCAGCGCAATGGACTCATCCTACACACGGGCAAGTCAGCTGACTATGTCAACCTGGCTCTGAAGGATGGCGCGGTCTCCTTGGTCATTAATCTAGGGTCCGGGGCCTTCGAGGCCATCGTGGAGCCAGTGAATGGGAAATTCAATGACAACGCCTGGCATGATGTCAAAGTGACACGCAACCTTCGGCAGGTAATGGCTGAGGGGACAGCGAATCGGGCAGACCCGCCTTAGGTAGACACTTTGTGAAGCAGGTGACTGGTGAGCTGGAGAGGGCTAGAGATGTGGGTGTGGAAATGTCAACATCTAACTCCGAGTCTTTGCAATTTCACAAAGAAAATGATTAATTGTGTTTCTTTTCAAGCTTCAATTCCTTATTTGTGCTTGTTATTTAAGGGGAAAAAATCAGCTGTACAGATAATAAAAGTGATAAGTACTTCCCTCCCTTTTATTCCTGCTTCCCTTTTATCATTTTCTTAATCACATTTGAATCTTAGCATATTGTTGTTAAATTCAGTTAGGGACAGCATTTTGTTTCTGAGCGCGATGGATTTTCCCCATTCTTTGTGAATGTTTTCCTTTTTAATTAAGTTAGCCATTGCCATGATGTCATGATTTTAATTCCCGCTAGAAAAAAAAAAATCTTCCTTTTAATTTGCCATCCCTCCCCAACCTTTTCTTTTCCTTTTCTTTCCCTATTAGTGAACCTCTAGCCTTGGAATTAATTAGCCGGGATCTTTCTGAATTCCTGTTTCTCTGTTCCATGATGCTGTGGTCCTACCTCACTGCCCTTGTCTCTACCTCTGACACTCTTCAGTTGACTAGGAGGCCTGAAAAGTGGAAGGACCCAGTAAAAATGTCAACTTTGGAGCAGCTTTCCTGATTCTGTGTGTGCTTGAGAACTCCCATCGCTTGTGGATTCTAAGCAGGCAACTCTGTCAGGTGATACTACGTTCAGAAAGCCTGAGCCAAGCGAAGCTGTTTTCCATTTTATAACTAATAATGATAATAATCAAGCCTTATCAGGACACATCAACAAAAGAAAAGCATTTCCTATCACAACCAAGGTCTGGGCTGAGATTGCCTTTTTCATGTTGCTATTTTCAATTGCTGTTTTTTTCTCCACTTGCAAATTTGTCATGCAACCCAGTTGGACAGCATTCATCCTTTATTAATCAGAAAACAGTATGCAAATTTCCAGAAAGTGGTTATCAAATTTTCTTCTGCAGTATGATTGATTTAACGCCTTCTCATGTAAACATGGACACATAAGACATGACAGGTGTTTGCATATGTTTTCTGTTTGATAGAAGTATGACTTCAAAGAAATGCTAAACAAATGGTTAGGATATCACACATTGGAAATGCACTATAGTCAAAACACGCATTTCCTCACTTAAGTAGATCAAGGAAGCCACCCGGTTGGAAGATCCCATTCTATCTGTAGTGAAGTTGTCAGGTAACACAAGACTTAGCGTCCCCAACCTTCTTAACACACAGGAATTTGACTATTTTGAATCACTGTTCTATGATTTCCCTTCAAGGTCGAAGAACTCTAATGCCAGTGCTTTCCACCTCCATTCATGATTACCCAGAGGAAATTCTCAACAATCAAGAGAAGCCAAATCAAAACCTCCATTTGCTGACATAGAACTCAATTCATCTGAGCTGTGGAGTCTAGACCAGAAAGTGAAATATGACCTTTAGCCAGTTTTGATTGATGTGATCCAAGTAATACCTCTTGGGTATTAGTCAGCAGAGGGGAAACTAGATGTTCTAGGGCAACAGTATCAGGTCACAGGTCTCATCAATTTGCTTTTCTTGCTCCCACGCCACACATTTTCTACCTACTCAGGAATGACTCAAAGTTGCCTATGTAAAACTCACTTTTGTTTCTACTCAAAACACTTACTAAAATAGTACTGGGCCCCAATTAAGCCCTTTAAACTAGAGAGAATAAATCAAACTGTAATTCAAATATTTGTTGTGATGTTTGGTCAGGAACACTTTGAGGAAAAATCACCCTATAGAGTTTCTAATGTGTTTCGAATTCTAAGGTCCAATTCTTCTCTGTGCCCTTGGACAAGCCACTTAACCTTACTCCAACACAGTTTATATTTGTGAAACACTGACTACAGTGTTCTTCAGCCACGTGTGGTGGCTAAATATGCAAAGCACCTTCTGTTCCAGAAGGATTATGAGCTCATCCATGGTCTGGGGTGCTAGATTCGCTGTGACGTGCAAATGATTTACAGACTGAGCATTTAGTCCCAGAGGTGACTGCTTCTGCCTGCTGCCAAGATGTGGCAAAACAGAGTTTTCTGTTCTAGTCAAAGCCTTAGAGTTCTTGGACTTTGAGGCCTTGCTTTATAAACAGTATTGAGCTCATGTGAAAAAGCATACCCATAACTGGAACTCATTGAAATTCTCAGTGAATTTTGTATCTAAATGCAATTTATTTAAAAAGAGAGACATTTCTGAAAAGCAGAATTGAGTGTCAGAATAAAATCCTTTCAATATTGAATAATCTAAGATTATTATTTTAACCATTAAAATTTAATGGCATTTTTTCAAGTTCCCTAGAATATATTTGAAAAAGTGGGAGGTCCCTGTTTATATCAGATAAAGTAGATGCTTCGTGAATATTTGATAGCAAGCTAATGGCAGCCCCTCAACTTCTTTGGCAAGATACAGTGGCTTCTGTGGAAAAAGTTTATCTGAGAAAAATTGACCTGGGGTTTCATGGAGTACTTTTTACCAAGTGGAGCAAAATTGTTCTCATTTCTTCTTTCATGATCATCAATATGAGGTTCTGTCCTTATGTGAACTCAGAGGCAGCCCAGAAATTTTATTGGGACTTTAGAATGAAAGAAGAAGTGTGGACTGTCCGTATTTGTTCCAGACTATAATAGCTGGGATAAGGGATTAAGATCGTGAGGTAGTGTGTGTTGTGTGCTGTGTGTGTGTGTGTGTGTGTGTGTGTGTGTGTGTGTGATCGCATATAGGGAAGGATTGCCCATTCCCTTGCCAGAATCCAGGGTCAAGTCTGTCACATTAATTGCTTTACCTCTGGGTGCCACTTTTGTTAAAACACAGACACAAAATTGGTTTCAGGTCTTCCAACCTTCCAGCCTCTGGCAATTTAGCATTTGAAAATCAGCAACAAGAAGACTAACTGTAGGGAGGGCTTTTCTGATCATGTTGAACTTGCCATTCTCCCTGCTGTCCACTCAGAAAATTGTTTAAAAGCTCTAAAAGAAATGTTCCAGAGGAGTAAAGGGAGACAGAGCCTCTTCCCACCCTTTTTGGCAAAATAAACAAATAACCTTATTGGGTAATAAAGAAGACTGACTTTTTTGATGTATTCTAATGACTCAGATATTCTAAACTGCAAGTAAAAGAACTAGGAGAGAGTTCCTTTGTGGTTGTATAAATCCACTGAATCCAAGGAGAACACAGATTTTTAAATTGCCTGTGGAAATCTAAAATATGCTGCATAATGTAGACTTTCTATGCTCAGCTTGGTATATAAATGTTTAAGTTCTTTCTATGAGAATATCATGATGGTCCATCCATGAAGTCAGATTCAGAAGTGGAAACAAAAACCAATATATTGTTAACATTCAGCTATCTGTTTGTCTATATATGGGAGGTATATATCGTTTTTATTTCAGAACACAGGGGAATGTATATATGTTAGAGGGTGGGAAGGGAACATGGGCAGTATTCTTTCAGAAGACCAATGGGAAGTAAGTATGATGCTAATTCTAACTGGGTGAGGTGTGGTCTGAGTGGCATCTGGAGAAGCTGCCAGGTACCACGACCCATGGGCTGGTGAGTCCCCAAGCAAGGTTTTCCATAGAGTCCTGGTCTCATTGTCTTCCCCACTCTCTCTCTCTGTGTTGGGTGCCTTTTTTTTGAAAAACTAACACAAGATCATTCATGCAATGTGTCATTTTACTAACCGGCTAATGTACTAACACCCTAACGACTCATCTTTGTTTTTAGTTTTTTTAATTAACAATCGTTCTGTTCACAATTTTTAATTTCCTTTCTTCCCCCTTCTCTGCAAAGCACTCAGGCATCGGACACGCTATGGTAAACAAACTACATTGTCTGGTAGATATCATTCTTATTGTCTCTTTTTTTGGGTTTGCCGTGTGTTGCCTTCCTTTCCTTCCCTAGCCCCTTTTATCCTCTTTAGACTTCTTCCTTCTTCCTTTTCATTTTTTTTTTGTTAAATTGATGCAGGTCTTTTTCTTTAATTAAAAAACAAAACAAAACAAAACAAAACTAAAAAACAATAAGGAGATGCACCTGCCCTGGAAATGATTTTGGTCAAGTTTGGTGGGAACAGTTTCGTTTTCTCCAGTTTTCTTTCCTTTTCTTTTTCTTAAAAGTTATTTTTTTAAAGAAATCGTCTTCATTTAGTGATTTTTTTTTCTGTTCTGTTTTCTTATTTTGCAACTTCCAAATCACAGTGTAGGGACAACAGATTCCTAGTGAGGACATTCCCGTCTGTTTCTCTCTTCTTTGCCCTTGTCTCTTCCCACTCCTGATTTCCTTTCTTTCTCCTTTTTGTGCGGCCATAGCTGCCACAGCTGATCTGGGGAGGAAAGCACTCTGCTTTTTAGACTCTTCCTGTCCCTTCTCTGACCTCACTCCCCACGAGGTCAAAGGGATTCCCACCAGTTCTGTTCTCCATACACAATGCATGGCATGGTTCTGTCTCGTGGAACACCATCAGCATCAGAGTCTGTCCTTCATTTCCCTCTACGTTACTAACAACTGCCAGCCATCAACTGAGTTCCACTGTCTTCTCCCCTCTCCCCCAACCTTCATTTTCCTCTCATCTTCCATGTATTTTGGGGTTGGGTTTGGAGTTTTTCTTTTCTTTTTTATTCTTTTTTTTGGAGTGAGGGAGGTGGTAGGCAGGGAAAGGCTGCCCTTCAGCTTTAGGTGGTTCTAGACCCTTCCATCTTCTTCTTCAGTTTGTGCAATGCATGTAAGTGTGGTATGGATTTTGATTCTGTTATTTCACCTTTTCGCACAGCCCTACTTTTTTTTCCTGCCTTCTCTCTTGGCTCCAGATAATTTCCGCATGGGTGTGTCAGTGTATGGTGTGTGCATGCTTTGAGGTGCTATCTTTTCTCTCTGCCCCTCTGCTCCTATCCTGGATGGTGGGCGTATGGGTGCTTTTTTTCCTTACATAGGCATTATTATTTTTGTTGCCACTGCCTCATCATTCCTTTCTTTTGGTTGAAGTTACTTTTGGGGTTGGGTCATTTCTTCTGTTGGTGGTGATGGTTCCTGAGGGAGGGTAGGGGTTGATACCTGGGGTGGTCCACAGCATGTATCATTCTTAACACGACAGAATACAGACCTTTCCCCTTCCTTACCCAGAATGCATGTTTGTTAGTGTGGTGTGAGCCAAAAAAGAAACAAATAAAAAAAGAAAAGAAAAAAGGGAAAAAAACACTAACAACCAAAGACCAACCCCTAACATCCCCCATTGTCAAATGTCTCCTCTGCTGTTTCTCATTATCATCATAAATAACAATCATAAGAAATTAACAATCATTTTTAGCAATGAACTGAGACAAGTGATATCGTCTGAGGATGGTTCCATTTTCTAGCCTGACTGAATAAAGTATGCAATGTGTGTAACAAGATGCTTAGCTTGGCAATTCTAACAAACAGTCCCATTAGCCTCCAGGGAAGACTGAAGGCTTGGGACCTAGGAAGGCAGACCAGAAAATGGAACTTGACTGCATATACTAAAATCAAGCCAAATTAGAAAGAACACCTCACTAAAAAAATCTTAATGAAAGTGATACCACAAGTAGGGGAAGCCGTTGGGCTTTGACCGGATTGTAAGGTCATTGCTGGGATTTTTTTCTTTTTTGTCCCTATGTCCCACTATTAGGTTACAATCTCTGTGGATGGCATCCTTACCACAACGGGCTACACTCAAGAGGACTACACCATGCTGGGCTCAGATGACTTCTTCTATGTCGGAGGAAGCCCAAGCACTGCAGATTTGCCGGGCTCACCTGTGAGCAACAACTTCATGGGCTGCCTTAAAGAGGTAAAGTTCACATATTTCCACTAAAAGCATGCTGTGATTACTTAAGAACAAAAAGGATTTCTAGACCAATGACTGAATCTGACCTGAAGTCTATGAAAGGAAATGAGAGGTTTCAAGAGAAAAGACTTTGAACTTGAAAGTAGATGTCCTAACCTTTGGTCCCAGATCAAGCTTGTTGGATGACCTTGGGTTTGATACTTCAATAGTCTATGGCTCTATTTCCTCATCAAACTAATGGAGCATCTTATCCCTCAGGTAATTGTACAATGTAAATAAAATGCTTCAATGCAGATGAAATCACAAGGAACTAGACATATATGACATTTGGACATATATGATATTTGCTTTTTATTTAGCAAGTATGGAAATGTTAGAAGTGGCATAATTTGTACTTGTGTGTCTTGTCTAAAATATAGCATATGCATTATTTTACCCTTGTCAAGTGTGGCAAGAGTCACTCTTTGTCAAGAGTCTCATATTTTGAGATAAAGTCAAATTATCTGTGTATAACATTAAGGCTCAGAAAAGGTTTGTATTTCTGTCTTCCTCTTTCTCCTTGAAAGCTAGTCACTCTAGCTGTGAGAAGCAATGGGGTTTTGTCATTACTCGCTTATTGCCATTGTAGCTGATGTGTTGAGATCTCTGAGAGCAGAGGACTTCAGCAGAGTGTGTGTTCAATCTCTACAGTCAGTTGTTAAGACAAAGAGTCAGATTGGATTTGGTAGAATTCTTTCATAACACTGTTTCACCGAAACAGTGCACTATATGTTTTGTTTAATCTAAGCTAAGCTTGATTGCTGGAGATACCTATTTCCCTAGGGAAATTCTTTGAGAAGCAAATAGCATTCTTATAGATAAAAATCTCTTGTGACATCTTGTGAGCCTCCTTTCAGGGCATATGATTTATTCTTGTTATATTTATTTGAAGTTTATTGAACAACAAACGCAGAGTAGATGATATTACACGTGTATTCATCCATTGCACTGCATGGTGAACAGAATTGTCTCTACTATGCCTGGTGTATGGTAAGTGTACAGTAAAGGTTTATTGAATGAGCTGAGTTATCAAGCAACCATCAGGTATTGTTGACTGTGCTGTAACCAAACTTGGTGGCTCTTCATAAACTATGATCTCCATGCTCAAAGACTTTATAATCTAAGAAGGGAAATGAATAATTGCAGCATAGCGAACTATGTATTCAGTGCCACAAACTGGATGTTCTGATTGATTGGAGGAAATAGATAAATTTTAGATGGGAATCAGTTTTAGAGAGAAGTGACATTTGAGCTAAACCTTGCTGCAATAAACCATGTGTGAATTGAGAGGAAGGGGTGGAAAGGAGAGCCATGACAAAGGAGGGGAGAATCCAATTATAGCTTCTCATTGTTCTTGGTCCAGAAGGACACACTAAGAGGAGATTCCAAAAACTCTTTTCCTTTCTCTGCTGGATGTTACTTCAGCTTCCTTTGGCTTCAGAGATGCCACTGTCGCTTCTGAAGTTAGGTGGGCATAGAACACTTCTTCCCTGGTCTTTCCTTCTCTTTGGATAGAACAGGGGCTTAAACTACTCAATATGTAAAGAACCCTGAAAGGTTATAAAACCTTGTTAAATCATGCTGCATTGGAATTGCACTTTTATCAGAAAATGATTACAGCATTCATATTACCAAGAAGCTGGCTCAGGAACCATTGCTTGACATGGACTAGTCCTCCATTTTTTGTGGGGTAACAGCTCTGAGAATGGAGTTTCCTGGAGGGGGCTTAGGGACGACTTTTTCCTGTTATAATACTGACTGTCTGTCAGTTATATATTTTGACACAAAGAATCAGTTTCCCTGCTACAAATATTTTATCTATTAAGAAGATACTTCTGAATATATTGAAACATTTAGAAAAACATCAAGATATCTAATAACTTTATCTATATTGAACCTAGATTAAAACAAAATACAGAGAAAGAGAGAGACAGAGAGAAAGCCACAAAGAGAGAGACAGAAACAGAAACACAGAGACAGAGACAGAGATAGAGACCAAGTGAAAGGCAGAAAGCTAGCCAGAAGTCTATCAGAAATATCACTTAATAGCTCAAAACTTAGGGCTGGGAGACGGCGCAATCATTAAAGGGCTTGCTGGGCAAGAATGGGGACCTGATTTTAATCCCTCGGAATCCATGTAAAAAGTGATAGTCTGATGTGGCAGAGCAGGCCTACAGTTCAAGGCCTGGGGAGGCAGAGGTAGGAGGCTTCCTGGGGTGCAGGGTCCAGCTAATCTAGCCAAAGCTGTGAGTTCCAGGTTCATTGAAAGACCCCCGTCTCAAAAATTAAGGTGGAGAGTGATTCAGGAAAACACCAACATCAACTTCTGCCCTGGCCCCCACACACAACAAGGTGGCAAGTCATTGAGAGTGACACCTGATGATCTCTGGCCTCTGCATATCTGCACACATATTCATATGCATCTGCACACACAAACACACACACACACGCGAACATGAATATGAATTCACACATACGCATAAAAATAGTTCTAGAAAAGCGTATCAATGTTTGTAGTAACTGTAATCAGTGATAAAATTTTGTCTTAGCAAGCGTAGTAAATCTGTATTAAAATTCAAACCACTAGAAAAAGAAATGTCTGAACACTGAGGGAAGAGGTAGGCACGTAAGAATTTGATAGGCATTGCCTCATCTCTGCTGTGCATTGGCAGCTTGAGGGAGGCCTTCCAGCCCTCCCGGGGGCTTGAATATGTATGTAACTATGAGTCTAAAGAAGTCCTGGCATATGGTTCTTTTTTTTCTATTTAATCATTACATGTTACTTGGTGGGCAAGTCTGGGAAGTTCTCCTGTTTTCAGTATTTGTCTCTGACAATGTAGCAAACAGGAAGAGATTCCTGCCCCGATAGAATTTAGCTGTTTGACAAACAGAGCTCAGTCTGTTCAATCACATGGCAGTTTCTCCAGTTTCAGTTATAATCCACCTTCCCTCCCCTCTATCTCTCTTTTTCTATTATATCTTTCCATTTGTGGCTCTAAGTTGCCCCAAGCAACTTTTAAGTGCTTTTAAGTGGCATTTCCATCAAATTGGGGACATGGTGAAGGAATGATAGGATTTCTGTTCCAGGATCATGGACACTTTTTTGCTTGTGGCAGAAATAGGTTTTATTTTTGGAACTGTACTTTACTCCTGAAAGCTCAGCTCTGGTTCTGCTATTGAGATGAAGTTACTTTGAATTTTACCTGTGTATACACCTTCTAACTTGATACTGCTGTTAAAAAAAAAATCACAATAAGAAGCATCCAAGTTGTTCTTCTGTGATTGTGATTGTCTTCACACCATTGCTGCCAACACAATAGTCACATCTACTTAAATATCACAAAGTTTTCATCTTATTCTTGTCTTTTCCTGTTCTAATGAACCTGTTTTAGTCTTCTTGTTGTTGTGCCTCTAGTTCCTAAATTGCTTCTTGGTATCTTGGGGAATCTCAACAAATATTTCTGAATGAAATAACATGCTTTAAAATTGATAAGTAATTTTTCTTAGATAAATGATCTTAAAGCATTGTTGACCACTTGGGCTTCTTGGTATGGCAATAGGTGAATCATTCAAGGCTCACCCCCAGATATCCAATATGAGGGAAATATCAAATAAAGGGCCTCAATAAAGTTAAGAAGGATGTATTGGAACCTCTCCCTCTTTTTTAAAGTGTGTTTTTATTGAATTTTTGTGTATTTCATACAGACCATCTCAATCCATCTTAATCATCTTTATACCCCCATCCCCACTGACACCCTCCCACAGCCTTCCCCCACTGGAATTCATGCATTCTGTCATTTGTGTTAAGGCCTATTGCATCAGGTTAGTGTCCCCAGGTGTTCCTCAGTGCAAGTTCATCTTCTGAGGTCTAGTCAGCTTATCTAGAGTCTCTTGCTTTCGGGAGAGCAGTTCTTCCTCACCTAGCAGTAATCAGTTGCCAATATTTCTTCAGCTAAGATTGGGGTCTGCTGTCCATTTTCCCTGTTCTATGCTGGGTTTTTGTTTGCCTGAGTTTGCACGGGTCTTGTGTACACTGACACCATTGCTATAGATTCATGTGAACAGGGTCCCAGGAGCCTATAGGACTCTGTTTCTATATGGTTATCCACCTCCTCCCTGGCTCTTATAATCTTTCTGCCCCCTCTTCTGCAATGGTCCCTGAGCCCTGGGTGGGTGAAGTTTAATTTAGGAGTCCTGTCCAAGAGCCATCATTCTGCAGATTCTTAATCTCTACCCTTTGGCCATTTGTGACCTTTTGTGTTCCTGGTCCTCTGTTGCATGATGGAACTTCATTACTGAGAATTGAGAGATTATTAGTGTCTTCTTCTTAACCCCTGTTCTATGTTCTGTGAACCTTAGGTGAAGAGGTTGTATTGTAGATATGTCACTTAGGCCTGGGCAATTCAGAGACAATGTGTGTGACCAGTTGTGGCACTTGGCAGCAGTCTCCATATGGTGCAAAAGAAGCTTCCTTGATGAGTGGTATTGGGATACTTGTCTGCGAATACAAGGATACATATTTTGCACATAACAAGAAAATATATTAGTCTAGGAATGTGACAATCTTGGAACCTCTCTTAACAAGAACAGAACAAATAAAAAAGACCAAGGCAGGCATCTCAGTGTAATGAAAGGAATAATAACTATACTGAAAACCAGTAAAACTTGTTAGAAACATAATGCTTTATCATGCTATATGGCCTGATATAAGCCACTTATTTTTCATGAGTGTCACCTTACAAACATTGCATTCTTTTCAAGAACAAATGAAATGATGGGCCTAAGCCAAGAATCATTATACAATGGTATCTTGCTATACTGAGTACTAAGAATAATCTAATATAGCTTATAAAGCAGTTTGTGAACATAACTCTAAGTGGATGTGCATAAGCTCATGCCTGTGTCTGTATTTTCCACATTAGCAAGTCATTACAGGGAAAACCTTTTATCTCAGGTTTTCTCTA